ATAGGTAAGGCAGAGACAGGTAGAGGAAGGATAGGCCATGGGTAGAGATAGGCAAGGCAGAGACAGGCCATAGGGAAATAGGCAAGTCAGAGACAGGCCATGGGTAGAATGGCAAGGAAGAAATAGGTAAGGCGGAGACAGGCCATGGGGAAGACGGAGAGGAAGGAGATCCGATGGGGAGATGCAAGGAAAGGATCGGCCATGGAGAGAGAGGCAGGGGTGCGGTTCTGTTTTTGGGAGGAGGAGATGGAGGGGTTGGGGTTCTGGAACGGCGTTTAGGGGGAAGTAACATAACGAGTTATGGAGTAGGAAAATGCAGAATTGGAGTAAGGAAAGGGGGTTTGCATGTTGTATGGGGAGGAGGAGCTTTGAGTAGGACGGGGAGGGAGAAGGAGTTTGCAATTGGAGTAAGGGAGGAGAGCGGGAAGGAAGGACTCACTGAAGAAGGAGGGAGGGAGGCAGGGAAGTCGGAAAGGATGAAGAGAACGGGAGGAAGGACATTTGGAGCTAAGGGGGGAGGACCAGGGGAAGGAAAAGGAAGAGAAGGGGAAGATGGAGGGAGAGAGGGAGGGGGCACGGGAGGGGGGATGGGAAAGGAGCAAGGGCGTCCATAGTGAAAGCGAGGGAGGGAAGAGCGGGCCAAGAGGGAGGGGAAGGGGAAGGGCAGGGGTCTTCCTGCCATGGAGCTGCGTGGAGGGGCCTCCGGTTGGGACGACCGCGGACCGTCTTCCCCAGGTTCTTCGCGTCCACCTGGGCTTCCGCTTGTTGTGTTGGGGGCTCCGTGATGGCTGCTGCCCCTCCCAGACCCTCTCACCCTTCTCTCCCTCTCTCCCCCCCTCCCCCCCCGCAGGTGATGAGCATCCTGAGCAACCCCAGCGGAGTGGCCTCCCAGTCCCAGGCCGACTTCTCCATCTCCCCGCTGCACGGCAGCCTGGAGAGCGCCAACGCCATCTCGGCCAGCTGCAGCCAGCGCAGCGACTCCATCAAGTCCGTCGACAGCCTCCCCACCTCCCAGGCCTACTGCCCCCCCACCTACACCACTACGGGCTACAGCGTGGATCCCGTGGCCGGCTACCAGTACGGCCAGTACGGCCAGAGTGAGTATCCATCTTCCGTCTTGGGGGGGGGGGAGGGGTCCTGCCCCACCCCCTCCCTGTGGCAGCTTCGTCCCCCCTTCTCTGAAAGAGATGGAGATTGGGGGGGCCTGCACTCCTCCCCCCCAAAAAATGCCAAGGGTGGGGTCGGGTGACCTTTGGGGGGGCGGCTCCAAGGCCAACCAGGCGCCCCCTAAATCCCAGCTCTGTAAGGGTGAGTGGGACCCACTGGAGTATGGAGATTGTCAGCCTTCCACGTCCTGGGATTTCGTCCCAAACCTGCTTTTTCAAAAGGGCAAGCGGTGTGTGTGTGTTTGTTCTTGGTTTTTCTTTTCCCCTTGAAGACGTTTCGCTTCCCCATCCAAGGAGCTTCCTTCAGTTCTGACTGAAGGGTGGAATGGATTCAGTCAGAACTGGAAGAAGCTTCTTGGATCAGAAGCGAAACGTCTTCACGGGAGGGAGAAAAACTAACGTTTTGACACACACAGACACACACACACCCTTCTCTTTCACAAGAGGCGGGTCTGCCTTGTGTGGAGGGGCTCTTGAGGGTGGGGGGAGGGCGGCTCCCCCCAGACCAAGGAGTGGAGTGCCCCAGCCACCCCCATTTCCCCTCCCCTGGGGGGGGGGCTCCCCAATTGACCTCTGGGTCCTTCCGTTTTTCCTTTTAATGCGCTTCCCTTCCCCAAATGAGAAACGGCTGCCCGGGGCGGGGGGGGGACAGCAGCATGAACGCTCCTTCACCCCTTCTTCTCCCCCCCCCCCCCCTCCCCCCCCGGGAAAAACCCCCCCCCCCCCCCCCCCAAGTTTGGCCTGTGACCCCCCCGACCTTCCTCTCGCTTCTGGTGGGGAAAGCCGGCCACAGGTGGAAGTGATAAAAAACCTGAAAACCAATTCCAGCCGCTGGCCGAGAGAAGCCCTCCAGGCCAAGCGTTAGTCTCACGCACACACCCCCTATAGAGGTGCCTGTCTTGTGTGTGCAACGCACGTTGTGTGTTTGTGCAGGACGGGGGGGGGAACACACACCCCCACACCCCCCCACACAAATGAGCTGCATCTGAAGAGGCAGGGGAGGGGGACGCAGCCGGCATCGGCCGCTGACCTCACCCCCTTCCCGAAGCTGGCGGAAGAATTCAGCCACAGGGGCACTTGGCCGAATCTGCCCCCCCCCGATTTAAACCCCGCCAGCCTCTTCCTTGGCCCCTGGGACCCCCTGGCTCAGCCCAAGGTGGTTCAGAGGCAAGAGGGGTCCGGGCTGGCAGCCCCCTCCTCTCCACCCCCCAGCCCAGGTCAGAGGCTTTGGCTGGGGGGGGGGCTTAAGGGGGGCTGCCCTCCTCTCCTTGCTCCCACCTCGGCTCCTGAGACGATGGTGAAGCCAAGAAGGTTCCCTTCCTTCCTCTGGCCGGCCAGCCCTGGGCCCAGCGGGGGGTCCTCTGTTCTAGGTTTCTAAGGGGGGAGGGAGGGAAGATTTTAGTGGAATGAAAAGGAGGGGAGGGGGAGAAGAGAGGAGGGAAGAAGGGAAAGGAAAGGGAAGGGAAGGAAGGAAAAGAAAGGAAAGGAGGGTGGAACAGGAAAGAGAGGAGAGGAAAGGAAAGGAAAGGAAAGATGGATTTTAGGGGAATGGAAAGAGGGAGGGGAAGGGGGAAGAGGAGGGAGGGAGAAAGGGAGGGAAGGAAGGAAGGAAGGAAAGGAAAGTGGAACAGGAAAGGAAAGGAAAGGAAAGTGGAACAGGAAAGAAAGGAAAGGAAAGGAAAGGAAAGTGGAACAGGAAAGAAAGGAAAGGAAAGGATGAGAAAGAATGGTTGGAAGGAAGGAAGGATTTTAGGGGAATGGAAAGAGGGGGGAAGGGAGGAAGGAAAGAAGGGAAGGAAGGGAAGAAAGGAAGAATGGGAAGGAACGAAGGAAGGGAAGGAAGGAACGAACGAAGGAAGGGAGGAGAAGGGGATTCTGCCTCCATTCAGGGCTCAAGCTGAACCTCAGCTGCCTCTTCCCAGACAAGCCCACACAGACACAGACACAGACACAGACAGACAGACAGACAGACACACACACACACACACACACACACGGGTCTCCCCTACTCTCTGGGTGCAGAGAGCCTGGAGACCAGCAAACCTCCCAACCTGAGATGCCTTGGGGGCCGTGCGAAAACCAAACCACTCCCCAAATCTTTCAGGAATTCCTCCCCTCCAGTAAAGGGCTCCTCTCCCCCCCACCCCCTCCTAAAACCCCCCTCTTTAAAATCCCGTTTTATCCCCCCAGAGGGGCCCAGGTGTTCCTGTTACCCCTTTCTCTTAGGCCCCTGGGGCCTAGGCTCCCAAACCTATATTTCCCCCCCACACACACCCCCTCATTTCTACCCGCCAAGGGGAGTCTAAATGTGGGCTGGGGAGCCCTTTTTGCAAGCCGCAGACGGGCAGAACGTTTGAAGTTGGCACTGCAACGGCCACCCTTGGCCAGGCCTCCAGGGAGGGCGTTCCCACCCACCCGCTGTGCCAACTTCCTAAAAGTTGGGGCAGGGGGCTTAAAAGGGCACGGGGATTGGCGCTTCTCACGCCGCCCAAAGCCCACCACACCCTCTTCCCCCGGCCTTGTGCCCGAGCCGTTGCCCACCTCCGTTGGCCCTGACTCACCGAGGAAGAGTGCCAGCTTGGAGAATTGAGCTGGTCCCACAGGCCAAAGAGCTACACTAATGACGGCGGTTATGGAACGCCGAGGCGTGAAAAAAATTCCTAATGGATGTGACAAGTCTAATAAGGATTTTTGCTAGGAAGGACTCCCCTTTGGGGAAAGGGCCGCTGACAGGACGCTGACGGCTGAAATTTGTTTACTTGGCTGGCACCAAGTGGGGCTCTCTCCGCGCGATTCTTATTAATCTAATTTGAGGCTGAAGAATTGTGCAAGGGGAGGTGGGTGGGTTGGAGGGGAAACGGGCAAAAAATGATTTTGACTGAAGCTCAGCTAACAAAAGAGTTTCACCATTGGGTCCCTGCAAAGTGGCGGGGGGGGGGGCTTCCAAATTTTTTTTGCAAGGAGTTCTCTGCTCGGTGGCTGGGTGGCCGTGGCCTAGTTGGCCTCTTTGCCGTCCCCGGACTCCTGAGGCTTTCCTCGAGACTCCGGGAGGGCGAAAACAGCCTCCCCGGACTCCTGAGGCTCGCTGGAAGCCGGAAACAGGCCCGTTTCCGGCCTTCCCTCAGCCTCCGCACACACTCTGCATAACCTGCATCCGAAACGGGCCACGTGGGGACTCCTAGGAGGGGAGGGGAGGGGTGGGCAGGGCCAGCCAGGAGTCAGATTTGGGGGTTGTCTGAACTGCACAGAATCTTAGCTAGGAGGGAGGCCAAATAAATGCAAAAAATATTAACATTTATTTGGGCCTGCTGTCTAGGGTGGAAGGGATTCACTCCCTAGCCGGAAGCCAATCAATACAGGTAGTCCTAGACTTACGACCGGCAACTGAGCCCAAATTTTCGTTGCTAAGTAAGACTTTTAACTCAGGGGCCTTCAAACTTGACAGCTTTAAGACTTGTGGACTTCAACTCCCAGAATTCCTCCTCCTCCTTAGCTCAGGAATTCTGGGAGTTGAAGTCCACAAGTCTTAAAACTTGCCAAGTTTGAAGGCCCTTGCTTTAAGTGAACATGACTCCATTTTACGACCTTTCTTGCCACTGTTGTTAAGCGAATCACTACCATTGTTAAGTGAGTAACTGGGTTGTTCAGTTTCCCTGTTGCTGAAGGGTCATAAGTGTGAAAAATAGCCACAAGTCTCTTTTTTTCAGTGCCGTTTTGCAACTTCGAGCGCTCCTTAAAGGAGCTGTTGTAAGTCAAGGACTTACCTGTAGTTGGTTAAATTTCAAATCCTACCATCCATTTTATCAGCGCATTCTCCAGTCACGAGTTCAGCACCGAAGGAATCGCTGTGGTTTTTATTTATGGTCAGCTGAGCTACCAAATCTCTTCGGTTTAATTCAGGTTTTTCTAACCCCCCTTACAATATTTATTTATTTGGGATGGTTTAAAGAAACTTCTAAGGTACAAGTGTCCAATCCTGGCGACTTTTAAGACTTGCGGACTTCAACTCCCAGAATTCTCCAGCCAGGGTAGGAATTGAAGCCTCCAAGTCTTAAAAGTCACCCCCCACTTTGGACACCCCCATTCTAAAGAATTTCAAATGTTGGAATCAGACTGCTTGCTATCTCTATTTTAAAGGTATTTTAAAGATAACATGAAGCCTGAACTCATCACTTTTGAAATCGCTTCCTCCATTAGCAGATTATAGCTAGCAAGATGTTTTAACTATGGTTTAAAGCTGAGCTTTCTTTCCAATTTTACTCCTTCTTCAGCCCATTAAAACACTGTGTTATAGTGTAACATTGCCTGGGCATTCCTCGTGTGGTATTTGATTTCAATTTTAATCCGTATTAACCGCATCTGTTTGGGCCAGATCGATCAGTTGTTGTAAACCACTCAGATTCATTCTCTTAGTGAGGTGTGGGCAGCATAGGAATTTAATAAAAAAATTAAATTAACTCTTGACGATCCTGCCTTTTCCCTGTCCTTACCTCCTTTGCAACTGGGTTTCTAAACGTGGCTAATTCGCAACAGAACACCTTATGCTCAGGGGTGGGATTCAATTTTTTTAACAACCTGTTCTGTGGGGGTGGTTTAGGTGGTGGGCGTGGCTTGGTGGTCATGTTATTGGCTGGCCGTGGCCAACTCAATATCACTCACATCGAGGCACGCACCTCCTCGCCTGGCCTCTCATGACTGCGGGGATGCTGCGACAGTCGTAAGTGTGAAAAATGGTCATAAGTCACTTTTTTCAGTCCCATTGTAACTTTGAATGGTCCCTCCACACAAGCAAAGTACCAGCAAAGGAGGGGAAAAAAACTCCAGAGAGGTTCCAGAGACAGGAAGTCTAGTCCTGCCAAGAACGTAATAAGGGTTAATGGAGAGGCAGTTTCTGTAAGCAACACCAGAATGTTTCCTTCCTGCCTTCCTTACAGGATTAGCCCAGTCATTTCTTCGTGCGAACTGGTAGAATCCCACCCCTGCTTATGCTACCAGGCTTGAAATATTGGACCTGGATAAAGTAGAACTATGCTGCCTATGGTCTGACCTCAGCTTAGTACACAAAATTGCTACAACATCCTGTCAATGACTACTTCAGCTTCAACCGCAATAACACATGGACAGATACAAACTCAAAGTAAACCACTCCAAACTTGATTGCAGAAAGTACGACTTCAGCAACAGAGGGGTCAATGCCTGGAATGCACTACCTGACTCTGTTGTTACATCCTCTAACCCCCACTCCTTTAACCTCAAAACTAACCACTATCGACCTCACTCCATTCCTAAGAGTCTGTAAGGGGGCGTGCGTAAGTGCACCAGCGTGCCTACCGTCCCTGTCCTCCTGTTCCCATTTATTCATACCCATCTATTATCATATACCTGTTTATACTTATATGTTTATACATTATGTTCATACTTGTTTTCTCATACATGCTTGACAGACTAAACTAAATAAAATAAATTCCTGCCCCTCCCTTTGCCAAATTTCCCCGGAATTAATTCTGCAAGGATCAGTCTTGCAACAGGGGAAATTCCTCATGCCAAGCTGGAGTGCATCTATTGTGACCTACAATTATAAAGGTTGCCGGGGGGCGGGGCGGGGGGGGATTGCACCGGGACGGAGGTGGGTGGGAGACTCGGGGGAAGCAGAAATGCCCCTGTTGCAAAATAACACACACGGATCGCCTTCATTTTTTTCCCTCCCTCTCCTTCACCCCTGCTAGCTGCCGTCGACTACCTGACCAAGAACGTCAGCTTGTCCACACAGCGCCGGATGAAACTCGGGGAACATTCAGCCGTGCTGGGGCTCCTACCGGTGGAAACAGGCCAGGCCTACTGAAGGTTTCTTCCTGGGATCCTCCCACAGGCCACCCTCCGCCACCAAGGCGGCAAAATGGGGAAAACACACAACAACCCGCTGGGACCAGCTGCTGTCCACCACTGGCTTTTCTTCAGAGACTCGAGGGACCAAACTTTCCCAACCCTGCCTCCATCCCAGAGGCCCACTGATCTCCCCCCGCCCCAATCCTTGTTCTGTGTACCTACGAAGACTAATGACCGTGTTCCCAACTCCAGAGACCGTGGTTTGTAAAGGACTCCTCTCGTCTGGGAGCTTGTTGACCAACGTGGGGCCCTTCCAACGCTCCCGGACGTGTCCATCGTTGCAACCGCGCGGCGGAGTCAACGTGGAAGCTCTTTTCTTCATCATTATATAGCTAGGTGGATACCGATATATTCTTTGGCCCACCTCCCCTCCCCTCCTCCCCGTGTCCCCCCAACCCACCCCCGTCACTTTTATTATCGTACACGATCACTCATCCATGAAAGAAACTGTCGGATCCAAGGACCACGGAAGGGCGGCTTTGGACCAAATACATACAAGCGTCAAGAAGCGAGACTGGAAAAAAAAAAAACGAACAACAGTTGTTCCTGGTCAGAAGAGGAAAAAGAGAGAAAGAGAGAGAGAGAAAAAGATGCTACGTCTTGTAAATATGTTCATCTCCGCTTCGGGGAAGGGAGGTTCGGCGGGGAGCGAATCCGGCAGATTCCAAGAAAGCTCTAGGTTCTGCCTGGAGAGTCCCCTTCACAAGGGTCCCCTCTGGGCTTCTCAAAAGTTGTGTCCGGAGGCTCTAGGGAGGGGTTAGAAGAACTGGGTCAGTTCAGAGGCCCACCTGTCCACCAGGAGAAAATAGGGGAGGGGGCAGTGGTGGGATTCAAAAAAAAACTTTTTACTACCGGTTCGGTGGGCGTGGCTTGGTGGGTGTGGCAGGGGAAGGAAAATCCCCCTCCCCATCCCACTAACCTGCTTTCCAGCTCCGTTCTCCTATGCAGGGCAATCCAAGGAGACCCAGCCGATCAGCGGAGACTCAATGGGAGGCAGAGAAGAGATACGGGGTTGGCGGGGACAGTCAGAGGTGGTTCTTTTGCCGGTTCTCCGGACGACTCAAAATTTCCGCTAACCGGTTCTCCAGAACCGGCTGAAGACCACCTCTGGGAGGGGGGATTAGGGAAGGCAGGAAGGTTGCATTCGCACACACACCCCACCGCCGTGACGTGAATTGCTAGCGGCCCAGCAGAAGGTGGCCGATCAGCTATGGAGGCTTCTGGGTGTGCAAAACATCTTCAAAATGGCTTTTTTCTTCCGTCCCCTGGCCGTTTGCCCATTTCTTGGAAATAAAGAGGTTGGCCCCGCGGCTGAAAGGGTCCCTTCCTTCTTCTGCCAGACCCGTAACCCAGATTGAGAAGGGCAGCTTGGAAGAACCAACCCCAGCTTCACCTAGCAGGGAACCATGGGTTCTAAGGTGCATCTGGTTCAGCCCAGCCCCTCGTCTCCTTCCACCCCCTTCAGTGGCATTTTCTAACCAGCCTCTTGCCTCTCTTTCTTTTAAAACTATAACCATCGATTGCACTCTTAACATCAGAGGCGGGCAGATAAAAAAAGATGTTGTGTCCCACGCAAACCTACCTGGGAAAGCCTCTTCTTCCCAAGCCAGCATCGCTCCTGCTCTTAGCTCCTCGTTGGGTGCCTGTGGAGAAATCAAAGGGCTTGGGGTTACCTTACCAGCCCGTCAAGATCGGTTCGGTTCCAGAGTTTAGGGATCTGGGAGAGAAAGATCTCTTTCAGAGCGGGAAGTCATGTCACCTGGGTCCACCATTTCAGCTACAGCATCTTGGCCTCCTATGTCAGGATTCCGGCACTTAAACCCGTTTAAATCACGAGTCTCGAGCCAAACTTCCAAAACTTCCAAAGGATTTATTGGGAGTTAACATGTCCGGCACTGCCTGGGTGTAGCCGACTCTGAGACATTATCATTCGTGGTCACCCTTGACCCTGGTTTTTCCCCCCACTCCCCTGGGTGTATCGGAATTCATATCCTCCAATGGGACACATCCATAGCCCAGAGTCATCAATCACGTTCTCCAGTTAGAATTTTGCACGGCAGAAACTTCAGTCACCTAGTTACTATCTTTGAAAACATTTGTGGAATGCACTTTCAATTTCCAAGCTGCCGCACTGCTCCCCCCCTCCCTTTCTTTTCTAAAAAGACCAGCGCCCTTCTACTCCAAGCGCCAACCCCAGCTGGCCCTTGAGACATCCTGCGCTCCCATGATTTCTAGATCCTCAACAGACCCAGAAAACGGCTCCTGAATACAGGTTGTCCTCAGCTTACAACAAGTTTGCTTTGGGACCGACCCAACGTTAACGACGGCACCGAGGGGAAAAAGTGACTTGGGACCTTTTTTTCCCGCACTTATGACCGGCGACCTCCTTTCGCAACCTTCGAGCAAGTGAAGGTCCACGCAGAAGCCAGACTGTGTGACTCAACAAAGGCAATGATGCGCTTGACCAGCGCATCAAGAAGTCGTAAAATGGGCCAAAGCCTCACTTAACAACCTAATGCTTGGGCTCAGTTGTGGCCGTTAAGTCGAGGGCTACCTGTAGAATCCCCCCGCACCCGGTGTTAAGGTGTCAGCAGGGTGGGGCTGGCTGACCAGGGGATGACAATTTTCCTTATAAGGAAAAACGAAGAAACTTGTGCCCCAACCGGGCCAGTCCCGTTTAAAATTTCTCTAAAGCAGGGGTGTCCAACCTTGGCAACTTTAAGCCTGGTGGACTTCAATTCCCAGAATTCTGGGAAATTGCTGGCTGGGGAATTCTGGGAATTGAAGTCCACCAGGCTTAAAGCTGCCAAGGTTGGACACCCCTCCTCTAAAATGTGCAAGCATTTAAACCACCTGCATCCATAAATTTATAGCTATAAGAAAAATGGAAGAAAGTGGCTGATCTACCGAAATTTTCTCCTTTGATCACATCTCCTGGAAGGAAGGAAACTTGTCCTGGTTTTTATTTCATTAATAACACAAACAGTACAATGCTGGTTTGTTTTTTTGTTTCAAATAACACAGATAATACGAGTAGAAGCATACAGAAATAGGCATAGGTTATTAATAGCTTCAGAGGCCGAGAAACGCAAAGAGCTTTTTATGTTTTTACGGTTTGCTTTTGAAAACATTTTCAGCGCTGCTTCTCCGATGTTTATTCAAGAAAGAGTGTTAGCCACTTCTGCTTCTATAACAAAACACGTGTTTTAAAAATGATTAGTTGAAAAGGAAGGGGGAGAAAAAGGAGGCAGGGCATTGCTTTGAGCGGGATTTTTTATACCTCAAATCAGATTCGGGCACAGGGAACTAAAGCCGATTTCCAATTTGCGGGGTTGTGTCTCGTATAGTGGCCTTAACTCCTCCTTGTGGGTTTCCCCCATTATGGGCCATAAAAGAGCCAAAGGTTTTTATCACTCTTTAAAAAAAAACAAAAAACAAGAGTTTTGCACCCCACTGGGCCAGTTCAGTGGGTCAACCCAGTTATTTTCAAGGGAGTGAAGAAGGAAACCTAAGGAAGCGTTCACAGTTGAGGCCAAGCCAAGTCCTCCCATCCTGTCCTGGTTTCATTGATTTTTCTTGCTTTTCTTGTTTGTTTGTTTATCTCCTGGGACTTTGGAAGAAGTGGGAAGTAACCCACCAACCTCCATTTTGAGGAGAAACCCCCTCTTCTCTGGCTGTGCCCCAATTTTTCTCACGCCTCCTAAAGTCTTCTGCGGCTTCCCTTAATTTTTGACTCCGACCTAACAACAGCTCTGTTGCTCACGAGCAAAATTATGTACAAACCCGCCAGGTTCCCCCTTTCCAGCTTCAGCAAGAGACCCCACAAACGGTGGGGGCCACACCATTCGGTTGGATTCCCACCCTGCTCTGACCCAAACCTGGTTCCCAGAGAGCAAACGCGAGACAAAGGTAGCAGCACCACCTTTTAAGGTTTCATCTAGGAATCCTGTTTCTTCACAGATCAAAGGCCGCTTCCAACTAATTAGCTCCGACAAAAAAAGAGCCTTGCCAAGTTTTCGCAAGGCTGCCAAAAAACAACAGATAAGAAATAGTTCACAACACAAGAGTCTTCAAATACCAACTAAGATACTGCAATGTCCACGAGGCTGAGTTTCAAAACGTCTTTGCTTCCTGCAAAGAACGTTTGTTTCTCAGCTGGCTTTTATCTTCTTGAGGGAGGGGCCATTACCTTGCAGCCTTACTCCTGAGTCGCCCGTGCTGCTGCAGCTGCTCTTTCCTACGAGCAGCCCTGCGCACACGCGCACTTGGCACAGGCTCCTCGGGAACCTCCTCATTGCTGCTGGCAGCCCCCACAAACTCTGAAGGAAGCAGTCCACTCCCTAATGGTCCTGGCCCCTCATCTGAGTTCTCGCTCTCCTCAGCCATCCACACCTACTGCCGGCTAACCACAACAGGAACCAAAAAAAAAAAAAATCAAAATTATTCCAACTTTCCTACCAAACTCTTCTCTCCAGTCAAACCGCGTTCTTAAAGAACCGATGCAATGATGGCCACACAAATCCAAGTTTGACGATCATTCCAGGAACTCAGGTTGTGTCTTTCTCCCCACGTACCACCCTCCCCAAAAAACCCGGTCCTCCTACCCCACTTCTTTCCAAGGGGGGGGGATAGATCTGCCCCACCGCTAAAGCTTTGGGAATCTCTTCCGCTGACACCCGATTCCACCCCCCAAAAAAATATCATTCCAAGAACTGTGTGTATTTTTTATTTTTATTTTTTTTCTATATTCCCATGGGGGAGAAGTATTGCTGAGGACATTTTGTGTATTTAATGTTTCTAATTTTCCAGCCCTAACAGCATCATATACCCGAAATTATTACCCGTAGCACAGGCCTTTATTAGTAGTAATTGCTGATTCGTTGCTTCTGTGTTCCAAGTCATAGCTAATTTTACTCCATGTGTATGTTTGTGGCCGGGCAAGTGTGCTTGAAAGAGGACAAGGGATGTGTGTGGATGCGTGTGTGAGTAAGCATGAGTATAATCGCCCCATAATTTATTCAGCTATATGGAAATAGTAGAATAGGAAAAAAAAATGAAACTGGTATTGCTTTAACCCTCTGCTGCCTGTGGCGTCCTTCTATGTAACTCAGGCATAACTGTTATACATTAAAAACAAAGGAAAGAAAAAAAGATGTAACGTGGTTTTGGAAGTCTCTTTTTTTTTCCTCTCCTCTCCTTTCACCCTCAGGAACTTCTGG